GAGGGAAACCACGAAAACCTCCCATGATTAGCCTGATGGCAAGAGGACTCCAACCCATGATCCATCTACCAATAAGGATATTTCAAGTCAGCACTGTGGTCGGTGCAGACCGTTGGAGACCGTCAGACCGGTGCAGACCGTCACATCATTGGAAGGCGAAAGCTCTATCCCCGATACCATCGCGGCTGATTGTAACCAATATATATTTATTTTGAACAAAACGAAACAGTTAATTTTAAAAATGTTGAAATAAATTTTTTAGAGACTATGTGTAAAAAAAAAATAAACTGCGGCACAGTTTATTTGTAAAAAAAAATTTCATACGGAAGATACAATATTTTTTGGGGGGAGGGATGTCGAAGGAATTTTACACAAGTAATTAAATGTCTACATTTTTTGATAATGCACCGCAATATTAAAGTTTGTACTCATCAGTCATGAGGACCAACATATTTCGTGTGTGTGATAACAGGAAAAAAACAAACGCAAACACATTACTCCTTTAACCGTTAAGTACCACGAAATATATATTTATATACAATATACGAGAGGTATTCCGAAATTGAGAGATATTAATAAAGAGATCTACAAAAATTATCGTCTACTTTTTCATCTCAGAGACATCTTTTTTTTTCTCTCTCTCTCTATCGTTGTTTTTAGAACATCATTTGAAATACAACTTTATTTATTTTTGTAATTTCTGAAAGTTTTTAGACTTTATTTAATTATTAATTATGGAGTTAACCAGATAAATATTTTCTGTTTTTGTTTTCAGTGTTAATTAACTTTAATAGGTTAAAAACAATTGAATTTAATAATATTTTTCCTTTTTATTTCTGAAATCTTTACTATTGCAATTTTTTTTCTGTTAATAAATTATAATCTTTAGTTTTTGTTAATAAACTGTATCGATTTTATAATTTCTATATTATCTTTGTTATAATTTCTTGATTTTATTATTTAGTTATTTTACTTAATTAATATTTTAAAAAATTCATTTCTTTTACTACGGTGTTTTTCTAATTCTAACAAAAATTATTTTCATGTGTAGTTTAACTTTGTAGCACTTATAATCAGCATAATTATTATTTTTATAGAGACCCTCTTTCCCTCTTTTAAGGAAAAAGGACCAATAAATTTGGAAGTACTGAGTTCTAAGGATACGCATTTTCAAAACTCCAGCTGTATCACACTGGACTAGTGTTCTAATATAATAACACTAGTTGAATTAACTTTAAAATTTTCTTCTCTTATTTTCAAGATATATTTGTACTTAATATACATCGATATTTTGAAATACGTTTTTTCTCTTTCTTTTTTTATTTAAATTATTTTATTCTATAGATGTAATAGGGAATTTTCATTCTGTATTGAGTTGAGTAAATTATTATACTTCAAAAACATTTTCTGATTCAAAGGTAGAATTTCCAAGAAATTGAGCACAATTTTCTTTCCTGATATGTAATATTTAAATAATCAAGTTCTGTGCACTTATTTACATTACCTTCAGCTTTTGAGTTGTAAACATTCGCTAGACTGCTGATCTTTCGAGATATATAATTCATATTTACATGAAGAAAAGGTAGACTTTGTGCTATATTAATAAAGCTAAAAAACGTGAATAAAACACAAATAATGAGACATAAATAAATTCAAAAAATATATATATTTAGTTCTATAACGAAGAATCTTCATCAAAGTCAAATCATAGGATAAAAGAGGAGAACACAAGAAATTTAAAAAAATAATAATAATAACCGATTTCTCAAAGAGAAATAGTGGTTTAATCAAAAAGTAAATCAGAATTTAAAGATTTGTCCAATAAACAAAAAATCACACAGACCAGAGATATGATCCTTTACTTATTAATATAAGTAAAATAGTCTTAAAGGTTTGAAAAATTTAGTTTGCTTACTGGGGGGAACACGGGTTCAAACGCAAATTTATTCAAAACTTTAGAGCAATTTGGAGATTTTTTTTTCTTGGATGATAAGGTAAAACAATTAAATTCTAACAATAACGACTCCAGGATAATAAGACAGATTTATATTATCACAGAATAAATATGCTTCTTTTTATGTGTTTTTATTTGCGTTTGTTAGCTTTATTCAATCTTGCTTGTTAGATCATTTTGTTAGCTTTTTTCAATCTTTTTTTATCAATTCTGTCTCTAGTAAAAATTATGTTTTTAAACATTGAAAATGATTTTGTAAGTAAAAACAAACTACAATCGTACATATTTAAAAAGAAACTTAACAATAAAATCACCGAATCATATTTTTGAGAAACTGAGGAACCATTCTCACTACAACTATCGAATCTATCTACTTAAATTGCATGAATCAGATTCTCAATTTTCCAGTGTATATATGTAATTTTTTTAATTTAAGTAAAGAAGTTACACTGTAAAATCATACGGGTAAAATTACGGTAAAAATTTCTGGCACCCTGAGTGCAACGTCCGTAAAATCAATTTTTCCCATAAAAGATTATACCTTAATTTTGAGACAATATTTATTTAATTACAGTGATTACTGTAAATACTACGGTATATCAGTATTACTGTATTTTGTTCTATAAAATTTAGCAGTAAAAATGGGTTTTATGGTAAAATATACTAGCATTAAGGATAACAGTACTTTTTACCATAATTTTATCCGGAATATTTTTATAAAATACAGTAAAAAATATAGTCTGTACAGTGATTAAAATTTTTTATCATAAATAAAAAAAATTTAATAAAGCATTTTGTTTTAATTTGAAATTATTTATTTACATCAAAACAATAGGTGAAACGGGAAATATTTCCGAACTCTGTCGTTTAAACAAGTTAAACTTTTTTAAATAATTACATAAAGCGACAGTTTTAACGATTGAGAGCTCCATGTTACGAAATTCTCCCAATGTATGACAAGATATAGTTTCTGGGGGGGAATGTCTACTAATTTTATAACTGTGGTCCAAGTAGGTTAACAAAGTATTGAATAGTTAAAATTTGCTTTTTTTAAGCGACCATGTAAAACAGAAAAGCAATAAATGCTTAAAATTGAATTAATTAGTATAACTTTAAAAAAATTTTTTACTTAAAAAATAAGTTAACACATTTAAATTGTTCTTCTCTTTAATTTCAATTGAATTAATGAAGTAAACATAAGCTGTCAGATAGAAACTAATGCAGTTAAATGCTTTTTTTCGTCTGTAAATAATAGCCCAATTTCGATGAATTTGACAAAGTATAATCAATATTTTCTTAGCCACTTTAGGTTTCTCTCAATTTCCTCTACTAAATAAAATATTTTTATCAAGAAAAAATAAATACCCGACCTTGATTTAAAGACCTAAGCATGGAGGAATATATTCCATCGTCAAAATTTAATATAACCAATAAAATGCACAATTAAAAGTTATTTTAACTAATATAAATGAAAATTGCAGAGCATGGCAGAAAATACGGAAATAAAAATTTGACTACATCAAAAATAAATTAGCCCACTGCTCAAACAATATTAATACTTCAAAAGACTTCTCTTATTTTATGACTAAGGCTCATTTGTAAGTTTTATTATAAATATATCTTTTAGAAAATTAAATTGAAAATAGCAACTATTTTTTAAACATAAATCTATCGACTATTAATAAGGTGGATATAAAGATACATATATTACTCATATATAAACATAGTAAAACGTTTGAATTTGATGATTAAGAAAATATTATAGTTTGTATATAACTTATAATATTAACAAAAATATTGTGTTTAAAGAGAAGATACATTAAAAGTTGTTTCAAATATTTTTCAAAATATTTATGCATTATATCAAATAAAATAAAATAAAAAAATTTAAAAAAACAGCGCTAATAAATAATCATAATTGGCACTTTGTCTCCAATTATTATTGAATTATAATTTGTTGCCAAGAATATTTCGTCGCACTTCAAGGCTGAAATATTCAGATTGTATTTTATGAATCATTCTGACAAAATTATCTAAATTAAGAGGTCTCTTAAAATAAAGAGATAACAGATACAAGTTTAATTTAATTGGTCTTAAATATGCTTTATTGCATTAAAACTGTATAATTTTTTACCTTTACAAAGCATACAAGCTTACCAAACTGAAATTTAATAATATTACGACCAATAAATTTGAAAAGAAATCCTTTTTAAGTACTTAAACATAAATATATGATGAATCATCTTTAAAATCCCTTTTGTTCCTTGGCAATCCTTAATTGTAGATTTCAATTAATGAATTTGAAATAGAGTTCATTTTAAAATGAATGGAAAAGCTTATAAAATTGAACAAATTATTATTAATAGATGCAACAGAAATGAGATGTTTTCTAAAATTAAATTCGATGTAAAATACATTAAATAATCTGTTTCGTTTTAAATTTATTATTTTTTGTTAAATTCCAATTGAAATCCATATGTAGTCAAAAATTAAATAATTTTTGGAAATTAACGTTTCTTACGAATACTATTACTCAAATAAAAGAGGGCCTGCTGTGCCATATTTAATTAAAAAGTAATAATTTGATTTACAAAAAAAATAACGTTCTTTTAAGCAAGCGATTATTTAAAAGAAGTTCTTTTTCTTTATAGAATAATTTTCAACAGAATTTTTTTTGAAAAAAAATTTTTAAACCATTAAGAGATAATGAGAAAACTTGATACATCATTGCGAATATCTTTACATGCATATTTTATTCTGTAACAAAAAAGTGAAAATTGATTCCAAAAACGCATCATTTATGAAATAGTTTGCGCAAATTATTAAATAAAATAGTTTATTTTTCTTATTTTATAATATTTTTTTAATAAAAAATGGTAGAGTATTTGTTCTACAGTATAAGTTTGTAATTTTTTCAGAAATTGAAAGCTGTTTAAAATATATCTTGTAGAAAGAATAAATTCGAATAAAATCATTTTCTTTCGTTTAGTGTTCTTAAAATTATCCACAGAGTATATAATTTGTAAATCTTTTTTGTTTTACTCACCAGAAAAAAAGTCTGGAAAAGAAATTCGCTTTTGTCCATGGATTTGGCAGTTCTTTCCGTTTCTCAAACTCCATCGCGCGAGAAAGGAAAGATTACGAAGTTTATTTAAAATATCCACCTCTTCTCCTGTAAGATCACCTGCCAGCAAATATTTATAAAATTTCACTCCTTTAATAACCTTCTAGTTCCGCAAGTCACACAATACACTTTGTAAATTATAAATCACTAAAAAAGCTCGACTTTACAACCCCAAACAGCTGATAAGAGAAAGGGATAATATGTTACACTTATCCAAACTTATCATTGATGTAGAAAGGTGTTTAGATGAAGTCCAAGAGCAGATCTTAGGCAGAAAGAACAAACGTAGATTTTCCCGCTTTCTCAATCCAAAATTAACTGTTGCGCCATCTATGGAGCTCATTTAGAAATAAGAAAATGGCAGACGTCATTGAATGAAGGTAAAAATAAAAACGTAAACAAGAGGAAGAAAGGTCATTGTTTTATGTTTACCGTCTCTTGGAAAATTTCGTTTTGGTGGTAATGAAAAAAACCTTGATATTTAATCCTTTAATTGCATTATTTTTTTTTCATACTTGGAGTTATACACAATAAGCGAATTCCATTAAATATTTGGAATATATCTAAGAATGATAGAATCAGATGAGCTTATTGTAGTTAAATAGGAAGTGGTTTGAGTATTAGGTGCAATGCATAAATTAAAAGATAGAAAAAGTATAGCAATTTTTGATTTGGAGAAATCATTTTTATCAGTTTTATAATTGAAATTCTATTTGTTTAAAACAATTTGGTGCTAAAGTTTTGCCCTTTCGAAGCTGTGAACAAAACAATTTTTGTTCACAATTGTATTTTTTTTTCTTCTTTGGAACAAAAAAAAATAGTTTCTGGAATAGTTTGTAGAAATAATTCGCATAAGTTATGAAACAGAAATTCGACACATAAGTATTTTTGTTCTACAGTTTTGCACTTTCGAAACTGTTTTTTACCATACCATAATTTTGTATTCATACCAATTTACATATCTCAAACTGAAGTCACACGAGGCTTCGTTTCTTATGTATTATTTTTATGCTAAATCAAATCAAATGGAAATTCAAACGGTAGATCTCATAGCTTTGAAGATAGATAGGCTTTGTACGTAAACAGGTATAATTAAAAAAATATATTTCTCATAAATAAATTCCTCATTCTTCCTAACTATTAAGTCTATTGATTAAGATTTGATGTTGCTTAACATAAAAACATACATCCAAAACAGTGCCTCACTTGCCTGAGGTCTAAGTCAAAAAGTGTATAAATGAGAACGAAACTGTATTTTTTAGATTTAAATATTAATAACTTCTAAAGTATTAATCGTATCCACTTGGAATCGGTTTTATTTTTTCCAGCATAACAAAATTTCCTTGGTAATAATTTCTTATTTAGATAGGAATATTTAAGTTTATCTTTGAAATGAAAGAGTAACAGAACTTAAAGCTATTAAAAAAATGTGTGCATATTATTATTTTCTTCAGTAGATTACAATACAATGGATTGGTGGCCATGGTAATTGGTTCGATAGGTAAGTTTTGGAAATGTTATCAAATGAGCTTACTTGTGATTTCTTGCTGCTAAAAAAAGAATATTATTTATCTGAAAATAATATGAATTTTAAATACCAAGAAATGGAACCATGAATTTCACTATTTTAATTAGATTCACATCTTGATTCATACATTTAAGAACAATATCGATTTGCTTTTGATTCCAAAGGCAACAAATTTCCAACTGAATCTTTTTAATGGCATTAAAAAAAAATAAAGGTTTTTCATTGAAACTGAAAAATCAGGAAACCAAGAGGATCGTAAATTTCGGCAATAATAGAAACAGTTGACGCTTTGTGAGTGTGTCTTTGGAAGTAGGATTTATTTCAATTCTGAAAGTATCTTCCTTGGCATCCCAGGTAATGACCAAGATTTTCAAAACATGATCTCCTGCAATGTGTAGAGATTCTGGAGAGCAGCGCAATTCAGGTGGTAAAGACTCAGGGACTGATAATTTATTAGAAGTCCACTTTCGAATTGAAAATCCTCCTCTTTTCATAACTTCTATCATTTGACTGACTAGTTGTTGAGCTTCTTTTTCAGTATTTACTACAGTTAGAAGGTCATCCACATAAAAAATCTTCTAAAGCAGCTCTAGAAGCTTCTGGAGAGTACGCTGTTTCATCTTTTGTCAGCTCTTGAATCGTGCGAATAAAGAGCCAGAGCTGTAACATATGTTACGATGAGCAATCGAAATTCATGTAATGGATCCTCAGGCTTTTCCGGCCAAAAGATCCGCTGGTAATCCACATCGCTACTGTTCACTTGAATTTGACGTAACAATTTTTCAATGTGCAACTTTGTGCAATGTGCAACAAGTTTTCTTAGTGCAACAGGATGACATTTGAATTTTAAGAGAACATTATATAGTTCGTTATGTACTTTTGGACCTACATGAAGAACGTTATTAAGAGAAATACTTGTCTTCGATTTTGCGGATACATCGAACACAACACGCAATTTAGTTGTTTCACTCTCTTCTCTAATGATACCAAAATGTGGAAAACAGAATCACTCTGAAGTTGGTTTGGAAATTTCATGATTCGGAACAAGTTGCATAGGTCCCAGATCTTGATATATTGCCTTTTGAAATTAACATATTGAATTTTGAATTTCGGGTTATCACGAAACCTTTTTTCAATGAAAAATATCGTTGTTTTGTCTAATTCCGCAAATTTCCTAAAACTCTTTCTTTATTAAAAGGCAGAATAACAATATATCTTTGCAATTTCTTTTTTCTTTTTTTGTTTGGAGGTAGAATTTTTTGACTTTTCGATCATCGATAGATAAAGTAAAAGCATTTGGGGCAGATTTAATTTCCCAGAATTTGTTCGTAACCTTATCCAATTCCACTAGAGCATGACAATTAATTAAGGATATACTCTTCTATTCACTCCTAGAAACAGCAGAAATTCAACCGGATAGTAACCAACCTAGTTTTGAATTGATGGTTGAATTTGGCTTCCTGATATTTTTCCATTTTGAATTAAATCAAAGAATATGTCAGCGCCCAGGATTATATCAATACGTCGGCTGATAGAGAAAGTAGGATCTGCTAGTTTCAATCCTTGAATATGAAGTCATTCAAATACTGAGATTTCGAAGTTAGGCAAATTACAGGTCAGATTTTTGACAACAAGAGCATTTACATTAAAGATCTCTAGACTAAAATACGACGAAAAGCTCAAAGCGACCTTTCATGTTGCAAGAGCAATAACTTTATCATCTGATCCCTATATTGTGTTTTCAGATTTTTGAAATTGAAGATTTAAATTCTTGCAACATGATTTCGTGATTAAAGAAGCTTAAGAACCGCCATCAATTAAAGTGCAACAGTTAACCTATTGTCCCTGACTACTTTTAACCATTACAATTGCTGTTGATAGTAAAATTAGTTTTGAATCAGTCATATGACCTGTTAGACAAATTGGATTATTCTCAGAACTTGTACTTGGTTGTGGTATCGGCGGCTGATTTTGATTGGTTACTTGATTGGTTTGATTAAACAAATGAAATGTATGCAAAATCGTGTGATGTTTTTGCTTACATACACTGCAAGAAATTGTAAATTTGTTCGTAGGGAAGCTATGATTAGCACGCAAACAATTAAAACACAATCTAGATTTTTTTAACGAAATCCCAACGGTCCAGAACATTCATTTTTAGAAATTTTTCACATAAACAAAGTTTGCACGATTTTCCATCAGATGGTTTGACTAAAGTTTTAAGTGCTAACGTTTTATTTAAGTTTCTATTTGATTTGTCTGGGTTTTGATTTTGTTTAATCCCCTGGAGACTCCTAGCTTGCGTTTCTAGGAATGAAAGACAGGTTTTAAGCAATGGAAAATTAGTCTCTTAATCCTAAATAACTTTAATTAAACCCCTAATTTATCCTGTAAAATGAAAACCAGCAATAATTCTACCAATTTATTTGATTCTAAACCTAAAGTTTCAAAATATCGAAGTACTTCATTACATGCATTACCCGAATGGAATCTGTTGTTGATTTAATATTTATCATGTGTAACTATTATTTACACTGTGAAAGTGCCAACTCCCCTTTTATTGTCATAAAAGTGTTTCCCAAGCATGTTTATAATTATCACTAGTAATTGTAAATCCCTTAATTAATCTCGACGCATCAAACGTAACTGAACTTTGTAAATATTGAAATTTTGGAATTAAACATTTATTTGAATCAATAGAACTTAAAAAAAAATAGATTAAAAATTCGAAATGTCCTGAAAAAGTAGGGATATCGAATTTCGGCAAATCAACATTAACATGGGGATTAGGAGTTAAATTATCGTTATCGATTTCATTTAACATCAATTTATCATTAATAAAATCTAAAAACGCCTTAATATTTTCGATTGTTAAATCAGCAGTATCTTTTGATTCAGTGATTTTTTTTAATATTCTGCTTCTGCTTCTTCTCTCGAAATCATCGAAGCGAAAAATCATAATAAACTTCTTCAATCTTATCGCGACATTTCAAAATGTTATTTTTAACGCAATTTTCTTTTGCACTTTTTGAGAATTAATAGCGTTATCAAGGCAACAACAATATCTCTTTATTTCTTTAACCTGAGTATAAAAGGAACATAATTTTTTCCTTTCGGTATCTTCGATGTATAGGTAACCCTTTTTTTTCCCCTTTTCCACTTCAGAGTTTCCTTTCGGATTTGAAAAGCAGGGAATCGTAATAACCTTGAACACAATTATTAGATTTGAATTAGTAACTAAAAAGTAACTTTTTAAATAAAATTAAAGTGACATAAATATTTAAAAAAAAAATCGCACCAACTAATTATAAATTTCGATCCAAGCTCGATTTATTATAAATAATGCTAATATTAATCGATTCATACAGCAGCAAGTCATTAAATATAAATATAAGATTTTCGATTTCAAATGATAATAATTTTGATTTCTTACCTTCATTAAATCATATAAATATCAGACATTGAATTTGCTTACAAATAGAAGTCCTCCCGGGTGCCTGCAAAATGTTTCGATTGGTAAGTTACTGATATGTTATCAAAATGAGCTTAACCTGTGATTTCTTCCTGCTAAAGAAAAAGAATACGATTTGTCTGAAAATAATATGAATTTTAAATAACAAGAAATGGGGCCATGAATTTTACTATTTTAATTATATTCATATCTTGATTCATACATTTAAGAACAATGTCGATTTGCTCTTGATTCCAACGGGGAACCAATTTCTAACTCAATCTTTTTAATTTCATTAAAATT